GTTTTTTTTTAAATCCAAGCTATTGGGACACCAGTGAGTGAGTGGTGGCACTGGGCAGGCCCTGAAACGCACACTCGTGAAGGAAACTGACTGCTATTATATTACAGTCAAAAAAAATTTTTTTTTTTTAAATGCAAGCTATTGGGACACCAGTGAGTGAGTGGTGGCACTGGGCAGGCCCTGAAATGCACACTCATGAAGGAAACTGACAGCTATTATATTACAGTCAAAAAAGTTGATTTTTTTTTCAATGCAAGCTATTGGGACACCAGTGAGTGAGTGGTGGCACTGGGCAGGCCCTGAAACGCAGACTCGTGAAGGAAACTGACTTCTATTATATTACAGTCAAAAAAGTTTTTGTTTTTTTTAAAATGCAAGCTATTGTGACACCAGTGAGTGAGTGGTGGCACTGGGCAGGCCCTGAAACGCACACTCGTGAAGGAAACTGACTGCTATTATATTACAGTCAAAAAAGTTTTGTTTTTTTTAAATGCAAGCTACTGTGACACCAGTGAGTGAGTGGTGGCACTGGGCAGGCCCTGAAATGCAGACTCGTGAAGGAAACTGACTGCTATTATATTAGTCAAAAAAAAGTAGTTTTTTTTTTTTTTTAAATGCAAGCTATTGTGACACCAGTGAGTGAGTGGTGGCACTGGGCAAGTGGGCACAGTATATGCTGTGAGCCTGACACACACCCTGGCAGACAACTAACTGCTATTCAATCTATTACAGTCAAAATTGTATTTTTTTTTTTTAAATGTACACTACTGTTACACCAGATATGAGTTGCACTGGTGTGACACTGTGCCCTAGAAGGCCCTGAAACGCACACGCGTGAAGGAAACTGACTGCTATTATATTACAGTTCAAAAAATTTTTTTTTATTTTTTTTTAAATGCAAGCTATTTGGACACCAGTGAGTGAGTGGTGGCACTGGGCAGGCCCTGAAACGCACACTCGTGAAGGAAACTGACTGCTATTATATTACAGTCAAAAAAGTTTTTTTTTTTTTTTCAATGCAAGCTATTGGGACACCAGTGAGTGAGTGGTGGCACTGGGCAGGCCCTGAAACGCACACTTGTGAAGGAAACTGACTGCTATTATATTACAGTCCAAAAACTTTTGTTTTTTTTAAATGCAAGCTATTGTGACACCAGTGAGTGAGTGGTGGCACTGGGAGGCCCTGAAACGCACACTCGTGAAGGAAACTGACTGCTATTATATTACAGTCAAAAAGTTTTTGTTTTTTTTTAAATGCAAGCTATTGTGACACCAGTGAGTGAGTGGTGGCACTGGGCAAGTGGGCACAGTATATGCTGTGAGCCTGACACACAGGCTGGCAGGCAGGCAGGCAACTGCAATTACATTACACAGAAAAAAAAAGCAGACTGATGTTCTAGCCCTAAAAAGGGCTTTTTGGGGTGCTGTCCTTACAGCAGAGATCAGATGAGTCCTTCAGGACTGTAGTGGACACTGAATACACTAGCCTAGCTATCAATTTCCCTATCAAATCAGCAGCAGCTACACTGTCCCTCCTCTCACTAAGAATGCAGCTTCACAATGAATGTAAAATGGATTCTGTCCAGGAGGTGGGAGGGTCTGGGAGGGAGGGTCTGCTGCTGATTGGCTGGAATGTGTCTGCTGACTGTGAGGTACAGGGTCAAAGTTTACTCAATGATGACGAATAGGGGGCGGACCGAACAGCGCATATGTTCGCCATCTGTGGCGAACGCGAACAAGCGATGTTCGCCAGGAACTATTCGCCAGTGAACCGTTCGGGACATCACTACTAAGAACAAAAGAGCTGAGTCTCTATATCTGGGAGATTTAGAAACATGCCTTAACCCACATGTTACACCTGAGAACAAAGGTACACTGGCACGCATATGGATTTCTTATGAGACTCCATCTTAGTTTTAACTTGCACTCGTACATCTTTAATCAACTCCCAAGGACATCGTAGGGCTACACCTCAAGCTTAGGACCTTCCTGCTCAATGAAATAGTGTAGGTTTGGACTGGCTCCCAGTAGACCCTGTGTAAGTAATGTGTGTTTCTTTAATCAGTAGTTAAAAACCTAGTTAAAAAGATAGTGTACTATTTCTGCAGCAGAAATACAATAAAATAAAGAAGCAGTTTAACAAAAAAAAGTCTACATCTATTAAAACAAAAAACTACTGCACCTTGTTTAACCCCTTAAGGACCAAACTTCTGGACTAAAAGGGAATCATGACATGTCACACATGTCATGTGTCCTTAATGGGTTAAAAACCTTTGTTTTATAAAAATTTCCACTTAGGAAATCATAAATAGAAGTATCCATCAAATGCTTCTTATTCCCTACAGAAAGAATGAGCACTGGGATAAGTGCACACAGTGGAGCAGTATGAGTCATTGAAGAATGCAAATAGAAGTATCACATACATTATTCTTGTTTCTTTATAAATAGGGTGATCACAGTAGCACATTCCTGCTGTAGGATAAGATGCTTTCTGGATTGTACGGTCAGAAACACCTGTAAAATCATTGTGCTGAGAGCTTTGGAGATGCATGTTATTAAATAGTGTAGAGAAGGCTACTCACTCTTTGTAAGTATTGACAGAACTATATTTTAAAGCACTGTTTGATTTTGTTGTATTTTGAAAGTAATTTCAAGATAGGCAAATTACAACTTGACTGTGTCCCAACTTTATAATTTTGTTGTAGTTTTTGAAACAATTGAACAGTAGTTTTTCCATTTACATCTGCTGTAAAACTGCTACATACTTAACAACATGTTTATGATTTTATAATAGAATCTAACAATATGTAGGGCCATATTTAATAAGCAGTGAGCTGAGGTGAGATGAAAAGCAAACTGTAAAACCCCTACTTTTCCTAGATATGTGAAGGGTTTTCCAATTAACCGTATTACCATTTCACTGTTTCGTAAATTCCAGCGTGTTAATAGATTGCTGCTTATTTCTAATTTCCAGCATTTAGCAGAAACATTGTCTAAGATCACAGAGTTCTATTATGTTAATAAAAGTAACATCAAAATGAATGGTTCTCTTAAAAATACTTGGAGCCTAACATTCTGACACTATTGTTTAGACAACTGTTGCTAAGGTAACCTGCATAAATAGGAATATACAAGACTAACAATATAGTTTGTGCTGGTTTGTATATTTTCCATGGCATGTAATATTTGTATGATGTGATAGTTCGCTGACATTTCAATTCTATTTTGCTATCTGTCACCTTTCCAAAAACATACCCTGCAGAAGGTAATGTATAGTAATAGTATTACACTGTAAAATACCAAATGTAGGCAAGTAAGTAAATTTACTGAGAAAAGTACATTTTCAGAGAATATACTTCTGCTTTAAATATGATCTTGTCTTTTGTTTTGTTTTTTTCTATCAAGGCAGGAACAAAATGACATCAAAAAATAACTCCATTATTGAATTCACAGTACAAGGATTTTCAGATTCACCGAAGCTTCAATTTCCTCTTTTCATTTCATTTTTATTTATTTATCTCACTATTGTAATTATTAATCTCACCATTGTTGCATCTATAGTTTTATACTCTCATTTACACACACCTATGTACATCTTCTTGTGTAACCTTTCAGTCATTGATATCTCTTACATCTCGACCATTATTCCCAAATTGCTGGACATGCTCTTCACACAATGTAAGACGATATCCTTTGCAGGGTGCATCATTCAGATATATTTCTTCATTGCCTTTGCTTGCTCAGAATTCTTCTTACTGACTGCTATGTCTTATGATCGCTATGTAGCAATCTGCCACCCTCTTCGTTATTCTCTACTTATGAGTCTCAAGACCTGTGCATATCTGATACTAGGGGACTGGATTGGTAGCTTTTTGGATCCAGTTCTGCACACAGTTTTAATTTCTAAGTTGTCTTTCTGTTCATCTCACCACATTGACCATTTTTTCTGTGATATTTCTCCATTGCTTAAACTTTCCTGCAATGATACATCTTACATTGAGATGTGGACCTACATATTTGCAGTTATAGTAGGTATGAGTTCATTAACACTTACATTAACATCATATGTCTTTATAATCTCTTCTATTCTAAATATTCAGTCAGAAACTGGTCGAAGTAAAGCCTTTTCTACCTGCACCTCCCACATGACTTGCGTTTTCATCTTTTATGCAACAATCATCTGTTTGCATATTAGGCCCAGATCTATGTATTCTCCAAAACTGGACACATTTTTTGCTCTACTATATATCATACTTATCCCAATACTGAATCCTCTTATTTACACACTAAAGAATAAGGACTTTAAAAATGTTTTTAAACAAATCAAGCTTTATTAGAATTCTAGACAATGAAATAGTCTAAAACAGTGGTTTCCAACCCAGTCCTAATGGACCACCAACAGTTCAGGTTTTGTCAGTATCTCTACAGAATTTAGGGATCTTGCTGGTGAACCAATAAATAAAAAATAAGTTATCATCTTTATCTGTGAGTGCAACTGAGAATTTGTGTTTTCTGTTTATTAGACATTATTTTTTTATTTATAGGTTCACCAGCGAGATCACTAAATTCTGTATATATACATATCTGTTGTGGTTGGTTACCACTTGGGAGGCTGTGTCCCTATAAGTTAAGTTGTATTTTTTTTTTTACATTTTATTTCACTGATGTCAGGTGGAATAATCACATTTGTATTTGTCAGTATCTCCTTTGGAATAAAACAGGGAAATATATAAATCCTGGACTGTTGGTGGTCCATGAGGACTGAGTTGGAGACCACTGGTCTAAAATAAATTGCTGATAATTTTAAAGTCTAGAGGAATAAGGCCCTTCAACTCCAAAAATCTTGTATTATCTTTGCAAAGAAAATTTACTTCATAAAACCCTGCTTGAAATCTGTATTTTTTTTACACTTAAGTGCTAGCTTATGCATCCCATGTGCTAGATACATATTATACTAATACCTTTTCAAACAAAAAGTGCTCCACAAATTTTGGTTAGCGCTTAGGATTGCCACCTTTCTTGTGGAAAATAGAAGCCATGCAAATTTGCATAATTAATTATATATGCATGACATCATATGACAGTATGTAAATCACAATCAGTAAAAAAAGAAATCTGGAGAGGAGAAAATGCTGTAAATAAGAAAAAAAAACTACTTACAGTTTGATTCTGCTGTATTGAGCTGCTCTGCAATTTGGGCTCACTTAATGGACCCAACAGCAGGCTGTCTGCATCACATCCCTGCCTGCATCATAGACAATATATAAAAATACACAGGTTTTATTCACTATACACCAAAGTGTAATGAATTACAATCTGTATTGCAAAATACTGACGTGAGATTTAAAGGTCAATTATATGTCACTAGTTATGTAATGCTTTTATAAACACACACATATGTATCTTTTTTTTCATGAGCCTCTCTCTCTCTCTCCCCACCCCCTTTAAAAAGTCTCCTCTCCTCAGATGAGAAGGTTGTGGGGGAGAGTCGGAGAGGAGGGGATGGGAGGGGAGAGAGAGAGACAGAGATTGACATTTTTTTTCTGTTCCATGAGCCTCTTTCTCTCTCATCTCCCTTTACATTTTACATAGGGGCTCCTTCTCTTTTCGCTAGTGTCCCAATTGCAACTAATTTGAGAATTGCTGCGTTCAATTCGCTCCATATATCGGTTATAGCCATTACTAGAGACTCTATCCACTCTCCTACTTACAAGTGCCCTTTTGAGTAACAAGACTAAGAGGTAGATTTCTACATTTCATTTACTTACTATACCACAGATTACATTGATATCTCTTATTACACTGCCCTTCATGGATAACCATTCCAATTCACCCTCCTAATTAGATACAGCTTAATACCCTTGATTATTGTAACTCTATGTAATACTGTATTGGGTCTATTAGCTAGTGTATCTTGATTTTGTCACGTATTCTTCCGCTTACAAAAATGTAGTTAATGGCATTTACTGTCCACACATGAAAAGTTGTGCCGAGCAGCAACCAAATCCACAGAAGGGTTAATGCTGGGCAGCAATTATGCAAATGGTAACCTGGTAACGGCCTTTGGGGTCAAAGGCCGGATACAGCATATCAGATCTAGAGGAGGGGTATTTAGGCCCAGTTCTCTTCCTGCTCAGTGCCTTGTCGTGGTTTCCCTTGTGGTGGTCCGAGAGCGCGTTATTGATTTTTGGTTATTCTGGTTATTTGACTTTGGCATTGTTTTTGACTTCCCTGTTTTCTGGCATCCCTGACTCCTAGCTTTTCCTTATCGTTGTGTCTCTTTCTGTATCCCTTGACCTCGGCTATTCCTGACTATTCTTTGGTACATTAGTCCAGCCATTCTAAGGTCCGGTATACGTTACCTATCAGTCCTCTGTGTTACACAATTCTACGTGCTGGATCATTCTGTAATCCTGACAGATTTCAAGTGAGTGTGTAATCTTGGAACTACCATTGAAGTTCTGACAGTTGGTCCTATTTTAAACAGGTATTTTACTTTACTGTTTTGTTTTTCAAGCACATTTATTTTTACACTTTCACTACATTTATTATTTTCTGTACCCTTATAGAGATTCAATAAAGTTTGTGTTTTAAATCAAGGCACCTAGCCTAATAACTGTTTAGTTAATTCAAACAACGGTAATAGGATTAGTATTGGTCTTGTTTTTTGCATGCCTAGTCTAATCTTTCTCTGCAGATTTAAAAGTTGATTACATGATACCACTTCTGTTACATTTATAGAATCACACACATATGCAATATAAAAAGATATAAACGGGAAAAAAAAATAAGAGAAGAGGTTTTTTTTTAGTTTCTTTTTCCCTCCCCCTTTCTTCTCTCCCTCTTAACCTCTCCTCCTTGTAAAAGGTGTTGATGGGGAGAGACAGGAAGGAGAAGGGAGAGTGATGGAAAAATAACTAAGATTTAATAATAAAACAAGGAAAAATAATATTTTACTCAAGGCTAACCTCCAACCACCTCGAAAACAACTCAGCAGTTTTCAGTCTTTATAAAAATGAATGAAGATTCAAAAGACCCAGTTGCTATAACATCTAGAAACTGGGGCTTGACCCCCAATATTTTGTAACATGTTTACGGTCAAGGAAATTAAAAAGGGAGGGAAAAGATACTTGCACTATAGTAAATTATTAAAATGATATCTTTAAATGTACAAGGCCTAAACTCACCTTTCTAGAGATCTTGTCTTTTTGAATTTTTAAAAAGAGAACGTATACAAATGATCTTATTACAGGAAACTCATTTATTAAAAACAGATATGTTAAGATTTATACCAGATGCTTTTTCAATAAATTTGTGTGCTTCATTAGCATACAAAAAAGAGGAGTAGCTCTTCCTATAACAAAAAAATTAGATTTTCAAACAATATATCAAGAAATCGACATGCAAGCAAGATACATATTTATATGCAAAATCCAAAACCAGATATATACAATTGTGAATCTCTACATTCAAAATAATTATAACAACGTTTTTAAGAAACATTATGATTAAAGTAGATAATATCAAACAGGGAATGGTAATAATAGGGGGTTACATTAATCAAATATTAAACTCAGACATGGATAGGGTATCTAGAGTTAAAACAAAAAATAATTATAGAAATACGAATGAGTCAAAACAGTTCTTAAAAGTAATAAGAAAATATAATTTATTAGAGACTTATGGAGAATTCACCATTCAAGTGAGAAGGACTCTACCTGTTTTTCTAAAACTTACCATTAGTATTCAAGGATTTATCCCTTTCTAGGCAGTATAAAAGTTGACTGCTAAAAATAAAATAAGAACATTTGAGAGATAGCGTGGTTAGATCATAACGCTGTGATCCTGGAATTAAAAATAAATGCTTTAAATGGTGAAATAAATAATTGGTGTATGAACAAGTATATCCTAAATAATACACAACAAGTGGAAGAACCTAAAGACAAAAATCAAGGACTATTTAATACTTAACAATAATAATGAAGTGACAGCTCCAATGATATGGTGTGCATTCAAATCTGTACTCAGAAGTTATCTAATAAAAAATGGGAACACAAAATGAAAAAAAAAATGTCCTTCCTGATTTATATATAACTCTAAATGATATAAATAGAAAAAAATAAGGAACACCCAACTATTACACACTCTGAAAACATAGAAGATATAAAATATCAAATAAACAAGATACTATGAATACAAACAATTGGAAAATTTAGAGTATATGAAAACCGAATGGTAATATAGGGCAGAAAAAATGCACATTTTATACACAAAATTGCAACTGAAAATGGTCCCCAACTAAGCCCAAAAAAATAGGAGACACATTTAATTCCTATTATCAGAAACCATATAAAGCTTTAGTTCCATCTAATTCATCAAAAAACTTCTTAAATACTAATAATATAAAAGCTATAACAAGTGAACAATTAAATGAAATAAATGTACCTTTTACAATGTAAGAAATATCTTTGGCTATTGACTCATCAAAAATTGACAAAACACCAGGACCATTTTGTAAAACACATTGGATTTTCCAATGTGTTTTACAAAATATTTAAGAACACGATTATCAAATTATCTCATCCATTCAGAATAATTTTATATCAGAAGCCATTACTCTTATTTTGGAAAATAATTACTTTTGATTCCATGGAGATTTTTATCTCCAGTTATGTGGAACAGCTATGGGCACCAAGTTCACTCCCAGCTACGCCAACCTCTTCATGGCCCATTGGGAATATATCCATGTTGAGGAGGGAGGTGGCTGGGGGTCGAACTTGGTGCTATATAAGAGGTATATTGATGATCTGATTATGATTTGGAAGGGTGGAGAGGAATATCTACACCAATTCATCAATACACTTAACTCAAATGAGTGGGGAATTAATCTCTCTTCAGAATTCAGTAATAAAGAAATTAATTTTCTGGATTTAAATATATATATATATATAGAGGATCAACAAATAAAGACTAAAACATATTTTAAACCAGTGGACGTTAACAGCTATATCCAACATACCAGTTGTCACTTTAGTCCCTGGTTAAATAATGTACCAAGCAGCCAGTTAATTAGAATGAAAATAAATTGTACTGACGAATGCACTTTCATGGAACAGAGTCAAAAGGTCATAGAGGATTTTCAAAAAAGAGGGTATGATAAGAAAGTGTTAAATGAAGCAAAGAAGAGAGTAGAAGGATTAAATAGGGTAGAAATCTTAAAATATAAAGAAAAAAAAGATAAAAGTACCAACTCCGATGTTCCATTTATCTGCCAATATTCAGGGGGACATAACCATAAAGTCCGGAACATTATTAAAAAATACTGGCCGATACTTATGGATGATACAATTTTAAATAATATTCTTACCGATACACCTAAGATAGTTCATAAAGGTGTTCCTAACCTTAATAGGATTTTAGTGAGTAATGTTTTAGATGAACCTAAGCAACAGGGTAGTCATTTTTTAAATCAGCAAAAAGGCTTTTTTAGATGTGGACACTGTAGTGCATGCGTTAAAACACAAAGCAAAAAACAACATATAAAAGAATTTACTGTGAATGAAATTACGTATAAGATTAAGGAAGGAATTACATGCAGTTCGAAAAATGTAATCTATATGCTCATTTGTACGTGTGGTCTACACTATATAGGCCGTACTACTAGACCCCTACGAATTCGGATATCTGAACATATATACAATATTAGGAGGCAATATGCACTACATCAAGTATCGGTACATTTTAAACAACATCACTGTGCAGATCCCACACAATTAAGGTTTATAGGGATCCAACAAGTTTATAGAGCATGGAGAGGTGGAGATTTCAATGGATTAATAGGAAAGGCCGAAATGAAGTGGATCTTTGAATTGAATACTATGATTCCACATGGTCTTAATAATGATTTTGAAATATGTCATTTTTTTAAAATAAGAACTTTTTTAGAAAATGCATAATTTTAAAACAATTTTTTTAATAATTTAATATATATTTTTATATTGTACTTATTATTATTATTTTTATAATATATATTATGATTTTTAGAATAGCAGAATGATTCTATATGATTAATTTTATATATGGTATCTTCACCCCTCCTAGTTTATTATTCTCCTCTTTTTTAATAAAAAAAAATATTTTAAATTTTTTTTTTTTAAATATTTTTAAAAATGTGTTTTAAATATGTGTGTGCACAATTTTTTATGACTACTATACGGTCTACTTGGGCTATCTAAATCTGGGTTCCTCTTTACCACAATTTTTTATATAATTTTTTATATGGTTTTTATTTCCCTTTCGAGTTTGAGCAAGGTGAAGGTACATTGGTATGTTTACATTTTT